CCGGCCGGCGCCGGAAAATCGAGTTCCGAGGCGGAAGGCCATTCCAATACACATTTCTTTTGAAAATGCTGAATTCCTGCTTCCGGCGCCCGGGAAGGCTCCCGGGCCGATTCTGGCGTGCTTCCGCTCGGTCCGAATCGTGCTCCCGCTGCAGCGCTGGCCTCATTTCCGCGCTCCCGCTCGTTTCGACTCGTGCTCCCGCTGCAGCGCTGGCGTCATTCCCCGTGCCATGCCACGGCATGCAATGCAATGCTAGGTTGATACTACGCTTTGCGGTGCTCTTCTACGCCATGCCACGCCGTGCTCTACAATGCATCACGTACCCTTTCGGGATCATTGCCCTGCTCGACATCCGACTGTACGAGTAGAGAGGGGATCTGCGCCATGGTAAGGGTGGGAGGGAGGGGTAGGATGTCAAATATGACGCGAGCGCACCTAGCTTGTCCTCCTCCCCCTCTTCCTCCTCCCCCCCCTCCTCCTCCGGGGCCCGTCAGAGGGGAGGAAAGCGGAGTCTTGGCCCGCCCACCCCCCTTCATCTTATGGGTGCCTCTGGCAGGCTGCCGAAAAAGCTCACGCTGTGGGGCTGTGGTGTGGATGTCTTCCTGAGGCCCCGTCCTCGTTCTCGTCCTCTTCCTCGTCTTCCTCCTGTTCTCCCGCCTCCTCCTCTTTCTCTGGCCGCCTCCGGCTGCTGCCGCCACTGCGGCCCCCCAGGTTTGCCCTCTTACCCCGAGGCTCGTTTGATCACAGGTGCGTCGTTGGTGGCCCGCCCCCTCCTCGCATGTCTCTCCCGCCCATCGTGCGAGTCTTCATCCTTTCTCTCCCCCTCCTCCCAGCCCAGGATGCATCCACGGTGTGCTGCAGTACAGTCGGGCCGCTGCCATAAGAAACCCGAAACAAGTACAGTCGGGCCGCTGCCATAAGGAACACCTAAGAGAGGCTGCAAAGCAATCAAGGAGCACTGAGCCCCTCCCCAACGAAAAAGGTTCCTTCTTCAGCGGCCCGGCTGTACACGCTCCCGTCTCAAGTCCCCTCCCCTCCTCGCGTGTCACGCCCGCCGACTGTACACGCTCCCGCCTGTCTCTTCCGCCCCTCTTGCGTGTCTCCCCCGCCCTCATGTTCCCCCCAGGATGCATCAACGGCGTGCTGCAGCGCGCGCTCCCGTCCCAAGGCCCCTCCCCGTGGGCCGCTTCAGGCACGTGTCCTTCCGCTGCGAGAAGGGCACCCCCTCCCCCTGGAAAAAGAGGAGCGCCCCCCATAGCCTGAAATTCGGGCGAGTCCCGCCTTGAAACAACAAAAACTGTCCCTACCCTCTTCCACGTCGTGGGCGTTGGGCCACGAGGTAACGAATACCTTCGAAGATGCGTCCAGAGCTTGAGCCCCGCATTGAAAAAGGAACCGCAATCAGTCCCCGTAGTTGTTGCGCACATCAAGTATGAACACATATCGAATGAAAACACCGATGGGAAAACCACATAACAATCCGACAACGGAATAAATCGTCATCATCATCAACATCATAATCATCAAACTCCCTTCCTGCCTCGGCCTTCTCCTACGCGTCATCCGAATCATCGTCATAGTCATCATCAGCATCGCCAGCATCAGCAACAGCATCGTCGTCATCATCACCAACATCATCAACATCATAGTCATCGTCGTCGTTGTTATCATCGTCATCGTCATCATCATCGTAAGCGTCGTCAGCATCATGATCGTGACCAACAGCATCACATGCAGCAGCATCATCATCAGCAGCATCATCAACGTCGTCATCATCCTCATCGTCACCATCACATGCAGCATCATCATCAGCAGCATCAGCATCGTCGTCAGCATCAGCATGAGCAACATCATCATAATCAGCATCATCAGCATCGGCAGCATCATCATCGCCATCCATATCGTGATCCTCGCCCTCATCCTGATCATCACCATCATCATCAGCATCATCATCATCCGAATTGTCAGCATTATCAGCATCATCATGATGATGATCATCATCAGCATCACCACCACCCTCACCATCACCACAACCATCTTCATCTCACCATCAGTATCATCAGAACCATCGTGATCACCGTCATCCGCATCTCATCATCAACATCATCATCATCATCATCGTCAGCAGCATCATCGCCTGCATCATCATCGTCATCATCAGAATCATCATCGCCATCGTCATCAGCATCAGCATCATCATAATCAGCATCATCAATATAATCATCATCATCATCATCATCATCATCAGCATCATCATCATCATCATCATCATCATCATCATAGTCATCATCGTCCACAGCATCATCATCACCACCATCATCATCATCATCAGAAGCAGCAGCAGCATCAGCAGCATCATCATCATCATCATCATCATCATCGTCAGCAGCATCATCGCCTGCATCATCATCACCATCATCATCGTCGTCATCATCAGAATCATCATCGTCATCGTCATCAGCATCAGCATCATCATAATCTGCATCATCAATATAATCAT